TAGTACCAAACGTGAGGAGGTAACACCATCTATCGGCAAAAATAACTGAATTAAGATAGTAGAATTTTAAAGGCATTAGGAAGGACGGAATTGGACTTCAAATCATTAACTAAACCTGCTAAATCTTTGTGAATGTGAAAAGCCTCAAGAAAATCCAATTCACATATGGAAGAAGCCTTTTGGATAATTTTTGCAGACCCAAAGTCAAAATTATGGTTAAATGTCCAACTATTATACGCTATTGAAGACTTGTTAATTTCGCCTTTTCTGACATAAGATTCATATTCCTTGATACAAAACTTCAATGCTCTTTTTGTTTGGCCAATATATCTTAAACCACACTGACACCATATACTATAAATTTCCCAAGAATTCAAGACAGAAACGCAATCTTTTAGAATCGAAGGGTGAATTTTATTAATAGGGGAGAAACCGACTTGAAAATTGAATTTCTGGAGAATCCGTGCAATTTTATAGCTAACAGAAGGATAAAATGGAAGCACGACAAGGTCATTAATATTATTTCTAACAGTGGAATGTCTTCTTTGATGGGAATCTGAAAATTTTTTAACGACTTTATCAATAATCATGTTAGAAAATCCACGGTCAATCGCAACTGCTCTCAAATAATTAAGTTCATTGGTAAGCAAAGATTCAGAGGAACAAACTTTAAGCGCGCGGAATACATAATAGTGAAAAGAAGCCATTTTTTGCTTAACAGAATGGCATGACTTGGCATGGGGTGGTAAACAAACTGCAAAGGGTTTACGGTACACAGTGGTGCTAAAATCAGTTTCATTGCGGATTATAAGAATATCGAGGAAGGGGAGGGAATTGTTGGATTCAATTTCAAGAGTGAATTGGATGGCTGGATCAATTGAATTCATAATAGATAGAATCTCGGATAAATCCTCTTTATAACCGTCAAAAAGTGAGAAAGTGTCGTCAACATACCGAATCCAAAGACGAAAAGATAGTTTATTAAATAATTTCATCTCAAAATAGTGCATATAAATGTCAGCAAGTACCGGACTGAAAGGATTACCCATAGCCAATCCTTCAACTTGACGAAAATATGCATTTTGGAAAACAAAGTGGGTTTGACTCAGAGAAACTTTAGTAAGCGAAACCAACTCATTAATTTCAGTATGCGTGAAGTTAAATTCCCTAAGCCTAGTTTCAAGACAATTTAGTGCTCCTTTGACCGGAACATTAGTAAACAGTGATTTGACATCAAATGAAACCATAAAGGAACGAAGTGGAGAAATATTTTAAAGTTTATCAATGACTTCGACAGAATTTTTTACAGTGCGAGTATTGTTAGCAAGTAGAGGAGAAAATTTGGAAACTAAATATTTGGCCAAAGGATATGAAGCAGTACCTATGTTGGAAACAATTGGTCGAAAAGGAATACCGGTTTTGTGGACTTTTGGATGAGCATAAAGCCTAGCGCAATTAGTAATAGGTGGAATAAGTGATTTCTTCAACTGAGTTGGCAGAATGTGGGAAGATTTAATAGCACTTTTAACTTTTGTGAGGTCCGAAGTTGAAGGATCTTTACGGATCGAGCAGTATGGGCCTTCATTTATCAGTTTAGAGACTCCAGTAATATATGTGTGTTTGTCCATAACAACGATCTGTCCTAGGACAGATCGTTGTTATGGACAAACAGCTTTAGAGATAATGATCATCAGATAATGACCTTATCAGCTTTAGAGATAATGATATTAGTATCAGAATGAATTTCACGTAAGATCTCATTATTTTCCTTTTCGCTAAGATTCGAACCCAAAGATTTGTTGTTAAAATTAACGTTATGAGTAATTAGGAGGCGGATTGTATCCTTCTGCGTTTCCAAAATTTTGGAGAATTTAAAGGCTTTCTCTATAGGGGCGATGATTTGAGGAACTTGAAGGTTTAGATGTCTTTGAAAAGTTGAAATTATATTTTAATACTTTTAACTGATCCTCCGAAAGATTCCTATTGGAGATATTAACGATGGGGTTAACGTTTACAGTGGGAAGATCAGCTAGATAAGTGGGACTATCCGACTGGGGTGCGAGTTTAAGGAATTTAGAAATAAGCACATTTTTATGCCGTTGACAAACGGTATCAGTTCTAGACCAGGATGTATGTTAAAATGAGGAAACATTTTCAGTGGAATTAGCAATTTTTAAGTGGAGGTAATATAATTCAAATTCAATTTTAGATAAATGTTTGCGCGTGTCCCTTATAATATGACGAAGAAGTGTCAATTTGAATTTATGCAAAATTTTTTAAACGTGAACGGAAGCTTTAAGGCTACATTTCACATGTATAAATTTGGGAATGATATTTTGATGTTTGCATATAAGTAGAAACTGTAAATGATTCAAGAATTTCGTACGCTTAAGGGGGAACTTACAAAATCGGTTCCTGTCAGTGGACATATTGTGAAAAGGGTACAAGCAAGAAACAAGTGAACAAAAGAAATATAATTCCGAAAGTCCAAACAAGTAATTACTTACAACATGAAAAAACACCAATAAATAATGAAGGCAATTTTCATCAACATATGACAAAAACATTCCAAAAGGAGAGAAACATCCAATACTGAAAACCAATAGTCACGTGGAAAGAACCAATGAAAGTCAAAATCGTGCACGTGATAAACCAATATAAAGTAGAATTTCCTCGAAAATGCCGGTTGATAGCATAAAAAAAATCCGAAAAACTAATGGCCACGTGGTAAAACAATAAACAGTAAAATATTCTCGAAAATGCCGGTTGATAGCACAAACTAGACTAGAAGAGAAACACGCTAATGTGACAATCAAAACCGTAAAAACAACCTTGTATTTAGCGTAGGTATAATGAAACACTCAATCGATTTCGAGGGCAGCTAAAGGTCCCTCCTCATCAGGAGAAAGAAATACCTAGAAAGAAGAAAATAAAGGAGAAGGAGTCTCGGAAACACGTGGTCCTAATCAGCACTGCACGTGTTTATAACTGAATTTTTAATCAGAGTTGCACTGGCCGCCTACTTTTACTGAGCCAGGCTATCTGATCAAGCATAAAGGACAAGAAAAATTAGCGAAGTTAAAATAGGGAGCGAGGGGCAAATGCACCTTCACGCTCAAAATCTGAACTTCAAAAAATGGAAAGCAACCACTGAACGGATTTTTATACCCTCTGGTAGTACCAAACGTGAGGAGGTAATGCTATCTATCAGCAAAAATAACTGAATTAAGATAGTAGAATTTTAAAGGCATTAGGAAGGACGGGATTGGACTTCAAATCATTAACTAACCTGCTAAATCTTTGTAGTTGTATTGATTGCATCTACAATGGCATTTTAAGGCAATCATACAATGACTGCTTATATTTACTTTAATGCTTTGTATAATTTGATAAATCTCTCTGCAAGTAAATAATCTCGGTAACTTTATTATAAGACTACAGAACACGCAAGGCTGGCCTTACTCTATTTGGCATCTTGGGCAAAATATTTTTCAGCAACTTTCCCTATAAAGCCAAAATAGTGGGAAAATGATAGATGGTTCCACAAAATATGTTTTTTTTTTTTTTTTTTTTTTTTTTTTTGCATTCTAAAAATACCCTGATTATTCAGTATGGCATCCTTTTGCATCTGGCACCTTACATCACTCTCTTTAAAGCTGCTACTGAAAATATATTATTTGTAAGCATTTGCATTAACCTACAGTTTATACTATCAAAAGGGTTCAAAAAAATAAAAATTCTTAAAAAGTTTCTCAAAATAAAAATTATACAATGTTCTGTAATTATATGATACACTACTCCTTGTGTTCTTCAAATGCCATCTGTTTTTCCAAGTAAAATTTTACGATAGGGCGCCCCTTGTTATTTTTGCCAATTTTTATGGTATGATCTCTGTATTGGCAAGCCCACATAAACTCTGCAAAGTAGGAATACAAAATATCATCCGACAACTTTCGATGACCCTGGCTGCAAAAACTTGCGCTTTATATAGCATGCCCTCATTAGTATTGGCATGAGTGCTCATCTCATGACAAACCCACTCATACCCATCTGATTGATCCTTAAACTTGACCAGATGGATATCTTTTGTACAAACTTAACAACATTCATGGTGAGAACAAATTGAACCTTCATTCACACACCAATCAATTACAGCTACCCTTTCATCCTAAATCGTGTAAAAAAAAAAAAGGGTGAGTATTTGTCTAACCAAACATACTTCCTTGTGGAAGTGGCAGGATAATGATTAACTACAAACAGGCAATTAACAAAAAAAAAAAAAAAAAAATAATAATAATAATAATAATAATAATAAAGGTCGATTAACAGCAATTAAAATTCCAATAATTCAAACTACGTGATTTGCAATACGTGATGCATGCTACAAATAACATAGCTCTTAATAACTTAACTAAGAAGTTCCAACCATATTAAACTTATGAAAAACATTGGCATTTAACAAAAATTGGCTGTCATAACACTGGGGACACACCGTCAATTCTAGGTTTGCTGGTATTTGGTGCCAAATTAAAGGGCACCCTTTTACAGTAGAACCTTTTTCCCAACTGATAATTTTTCTATTTAAGTAATAGTAATTTCCATTTATCCTCAAGATTAAACTTGCAAGAGTTCATATTATTTTCTCGATTCTTTTTTCCTCCCCCAAAATCCATATGAAACAAGAAGTTACATGCAAAACAGAACACACTGACAATAAATTTAGTCTAAGTTAGCTTTCATAAACAAAAATGCTAACTGCATACTCTATTATGTTGTTCATACATTATAAATGATATTTTTACTGAAAAATCATTCGTGACTAATAGAAGTGTTTTCTCTCTCTTGTAAATTAAAAAAAAAATTTTACATTTCAACTTTTCTAATTTCAACGATAATTTAAAGTATGATATTACAGTTCACACTTATGATCAAGTAGTATCAAGAATGTATAATTATGTATTTCTGATCAAATGTAGCATTTCAAACGTAAAAATACTTACATCGCCTCCATGTCCATCGAAAATACCATACATAGATATACCACTTTCTTTATCAGAAATTACACTAAATCTATCTTCCATTCTCGGTCTGCGTCCTTTTATTGCATATACGCCGCAATTTTCATTAATGAATTCCCAAGAATCTCGATCCTTTAATAAATCGGCAGAATTGATTAACAATAACTTACGAAGCCTAACGGGATAAAATTTGCGTAAAAATCTGCGTAATAATTCGCAACAGTGATAAAGAATTAAAACGAAAGAAAATAAAGCAAATATGGTTAAGGAAATTTCCAGTTTTGAAGTTGTAATGTAATTAGTACCAGATATGTATTTAGAAAGAGATGTAAGTGGGAAACTCCAGAATACACGGGATAAAATTTTTAGATTTTTTAATATAGCCTGATACACTGCAACATCTTCTGAATCTTCCTCCATAATCTAACATTTACGCGATGCAACTTTGAGCGAGCAGACTATACTTTTTCAATTTCATCCATTTTTCTGGTGTTGCCTATAAAGATATAAAATGACTTTTTTTTTCTAATTTTCATGATCTTAGATATCGTATTTAAATTTCATTATCAGCTTCAGAAAATGATTTTGAAAGCCAAAAGAGGCTTAAAATGCATTATGATTTAAAATATAATCTCATCAATTTAACATGTGCTGAATTCAAAATTTCTTCACTGAATTATATTAAATATTAAAATCAATTACAATTTTACAGAAATATTATACGTCTCAATATGTTGTTAGTTAGATTATTAGGTACTTAATATAAATAGTATTTTATGTATTCAAGTCAAATAAGGTATAAGACTTTAAATAGTCGAGATTCTCATGCTAACAATTTCACTGTAACCAGTGACTGATACGGGGGGCCTTGTTTGGAGTCACCTTTCCCTCTATTATTTTTGGGCCATTTATTTTAAATTTTATTTTGTCCCATCTTTTCTTCCTGGCCTTTTGAACTCGTACAAGATGTACGAAGTTCCTTTTTACTCTCCTCAAATACGAAATTGCCCCTCTTTCTATATACCTTTCCTTCGCACCTATGCTTGATTTTTCGCCCATCGGTGCAGAAAGACTTAGCGGGTGCAAAACAAGACATCTGTCTACTTTATCTGTCTGTCTGTCAGTCTGCGATCACCGAGGCAAGCGGCAGCACGATCGCTGAGCTCCGTAAAAAAGTGAAAATATTTCCTTTCCTCTTGGTGATTATCAATTAAATTTCTTTGAAAAATGTTTTTCTTCCCCTACAACACCTGTTCCGTCTTTTTGGTAGATAGGTGGCGCTCTTGATGCGCGCCGATGAAAAATATATCACTTGATGCTTGAACATGAAGAATGACGCATGTCATATTTATATGATGCTTGATTATGTTTCATGGCCGCTATAAGCGGAATTAATATAAGTTTATCGTTAATAAATGTTATTTCTATGTTCCGTGAACTCTTGAAATTTTGATTTGAAATTCTAATGCTCTCCCAACCTTGACTCCTGAAACGAAACGATCTTTGAATTTATGACTCATGAAGAGAGACACCACATATTTTTCTGGTGTCTGAAACCCGCGACAAGGGGAATTACCTTTTGAAAGGTAAGAAATTTGATTTATTTGTTCTTGGTATCGATCTTTGAAAACGAAACATAATGGATGATTTAGCAAAAGAGAAAAGAAACGTGCTATTGTACGTAGTAAAGTTACTACACTTCTAAATAAACTTGAGAAATTATTATCGGAAGAATTAAGTAAAGAACATCTAGAAGATTTAAATTCATCATATGAATTGTTAATTGAATACCATGAGAAACTTAAAAACTCTTGACTCAAAGATCGATGCTCTCATAATTGATGAAAAAGAATATGATAACGAACTACTTGTATGTGAAGAGTATGATGAAAAATTATAACGTTTAAAGCTAGATTGTTAGTAAAGTAAAGAAATTAACAGTAATGAAGTTGTTGAAAGAAGTATAATTACAACTAGTAATAGTATTAGTAGTGCTCTGAGTGGTAATAATGTTGTTACAAGTAGTGCTTCAGTAAAGTTACCTAAATTAAATATTAAAAAATTTGCTGGTGATCCCAGTAAATGGCTCGAATTCTTTAATTCTTATGATAATGCTATTCATTCTAATCCAAGTTTATCTAAAATAGATAAGTTTACATATTTGAAAAGTTTATTATCTGGTTCAGCATATAATTGTGTTTCTGGTTATGCTTTATCTGAAGAAAATTATGATCTATGCATTAAAAGTTTAGAAGAGAGGTTTGGTCGTAAAGATGTTATTATATCAAAATTCATGCAGATGTTGTTACAGTTAGAACCAGTTAAAAGTTCTTCAAATGTTTTTGAGTTAAGAAAGCTCTATGATCAGTTACAAATCTGCGTTAGAAATTTAAGTAGTTTAGATGTTACTAGCGGTTCATACGGACAGTTATTGAACCCAATAATTCTTAAATTGTTACCTGAAGATTTAGCTCTTGAATTCCATAGAAAAAGAACATCTAACCAAAATATAGAAGTAAGTGAATTAATAGAGTTCATTAAAATAGAAACTGAATGCCGAGAAGCAAGTATTTTGATTAATAGCTCAAAAGGTAATAAATACACAGGGAGTTAATCCTAAACAAGGGTTCAAAAATTATAAAGTCAAATCACAAGCTTCTGCTTTTAACACATCGGTAAAAATGTTTTGCATATTCTGCAAATCAAACGAACATACATCTGCCGGATGTTTCAAATTTTCTGACGAACAAAAACGAAACAAATTAAAACATGGAACGTTCGCTTGTTACAGATTGCTTTCTGAAATTCACATTTTGTCGGTCGTTTTGTCAGGTCAAAAATACAACCATGCGAAAGTTGTAACGAGAAAAATCATAATAAATTTTTCTGCCGTTTGAAATCGAAAAAAATGGAAGATGTTAAATCCGCAGATACGCAAAATAAAACTTTAGTATCTACTTCCCACTGTAATACTATAAAACCTGAAAATAGTGTGCTTTTACAGACGTATTCTGTTATTACTCAAAGCAAAATAAATCGAGAATCGTAAGATTATTAATTGATTCAGGTAGTGAACGAAACTTCATCACCCACAAGTTAGCGCGCGATTTGGAATTGCAAGTCATTAGAAAAGAATTTCTAACAATTTATTCGTTTGGAAATCAGCGCGGTAACTCGCAAGAATTTGATGTTATATGTCTAAAAATAAAAAATAAAAACGATGATCGCTGCCTTGTTGTAGAAGCTATAGGGATAGAATTAATATCATCTATAGAATTCCAGGCGCCATCAACATGTCAAAACATTAAAGAATTTATGACTAAAAAGGGCTTGGAACTTTCGGATACAAGTCCCGTTAATGAGAACATAAATATTCTGCTTGGCGCGGAGCATTTCTGGTATATACAAACAGGAAGTAATTCAATGATAAATGATGGTTTGTTTATAGTACCGACCATATTTGGATACACAGTGATGGGTAAAGTAAAAAATAATAATACTCGTATTAATGCGTTTGTTTTTATCTACTGCCGTTGAAGGAAACACATTTGATTTGCAGTCATTTTGGAAATTGGATTCGATAGGAATTGAAAATGAAAATAAAACATTTTCGGAAACTGATTTGGAATACTATTAAGCATTTCAACGACAGTATGAAATTTAATAACGACAGGTACGAAACAAAACTCTTTTGGAAGGACAATAAATCACAACTCGGTGATAATTTTTTCGTTGCTAAACAACGAATTTCTAGGACTAAGCATAAATTAAAGGGAAATGATTTCCTATATAATGAATATGATAATATAATTAGAGAACAAGTTGAAAGGGGGATTGTTGAACAATGTACAGTCGGTCACAAAAGTATTCGAACACCGGTACCCTATCAGAAAATGACAAGATGGCGTTTTTTTTTCTCTTTCTCTCTGTGTGTCGTGTTATTCCATCCTAGGTTTTCTTCTCCCCCCCCCCATCTTGGAAAAAACTGGAAAAAATTGGTCACGATCTCTTTTTGAATGGGGAGATGCCATTTTGAGAAAAAGCTGACGACCCTATCTTGGAGAATGGAAATGAACGCCTCTCCCTCTCTCTTTGAAATGGGAAGCCATTTTGGGACCCTCTATTCTTGGGGAGGGAGAAAAACTGAAGTCTGCATTTCGCTGTCTCTGAATGCGGAAAGCCCTTTTGGGAAAAGCGGACCCTCTTCTTCTGATCTTGGAGAACTGGAAATGAACGCTCTACACGATCTCTCTTTGAATTCAGAAGGTATTTTGGGACCTTCTAATGTTGGAAAACTGAAATGAACGCTCTACACCTTCTCTCTCTCTCTCTCTCTCTCTTTCTCTGAAATGGGTAGCCATTTGAAAACTCCCTAACTTTGGAAAAAAAACAGAAATGAACGCTCTACACCATCTCTCTTTGAAAATGGGGGGGTGTCATTTTGAGACCTCCCTCCCCTAAACTTGAAAAAAAACTGAAATGAACGCTCTACACTTTCTCTCTTTGGACATGGGTAGCCCTTTGGGGACCCTCTCCTCTTGGTAGAAAAAAAAGAACTGAAGTGAAGGCTCTACACAATCTCTCTTGGAATGGGATCCATATTTCGGGAAACGTGGATCACCTCATGCTGGAAAACTGAAGTGAACCACCAAGATTGGACTCTATATAATATTTTTTTTAATTGACATCATGACCCTCCTCCAATTTGTTATTAAAAAAATTGTTTTTTTTTTGTTTTGGTTTTTATCCCATTTCCGATGTGATTTCAGAAATGCAATTCCATAACAGTTCAATTTCATTCGAGGTTAAATGATCTAAAACGTCTTTGACCCACCCATCCGTATGATTATTTTCTTCTCCTTCCTGTTGCACCAAATTTTGTAAGTCCATATAATCATTCCATACGGGAAGGGCTGGATCCTCACAAGGCTGTCTTGAAACACTTGGAGTCTCTTTGGGATGAGTGGAGGGATCTAGGATGTCTGGACCCGGCTGCGATTCTACCTCCATGATTTCTGGACCCGTTGGAACTTGTTTACCCGGCTGAAATTCTACCTCCATGATTTCTGGACCCGTTGGAACTTGTGAACCCGGCTGTGATTCTGCCTCCATGATTTCTGGACCTGTTGGAACTTGTGGACCCGGCTGACATTCTACCTCTACGATGTCGGGACTTTTTGAAGCTTGTGGACCCGTCTGACATTCTACCTCTACGATGTCGGGACAGGTTGGAGGAGAAGAAGAAGAAGAAGAGGATACTGGAAGAGGTTCTGTCTGTGAGGAGTCCGAAAGAGGTTGCCTGTTTGAACAAGTCGGGGAAGAAGAAGAAGAAGAAGAAGCTTCTGGATTCTGAAGCGGATCTTGCACGCCAGGTAGGTTCCGGTAAGTCGACCGTTTTTTAAGAGGTAATTTTTTTTCTTCCTCCTCATCTTCAATTGTGATGACTTCAATTTCATTCCGTTGCCGGGTCGATTTTGTTTCGGGAAATAACGGTTTGGTCCAGCTC